CCAGTGTGCCTTTCTGACAAGGAGAGGGTGAGGCTGGGGTCTCACAGCACTGGCTGCGTTCTCCTGGCACGTATTTTCAGGGTGACCTATTTGAGGGAGAGTGATCCTGGTGGTTACTGTAATGGTAAAAACAATTCCTTTTTCAATAAATTCAATCACTTTAAAGAAAAATGTTAAGTAAAAAATATAGAATTGGTATTTTATGGGTTTGGCAAAAATCATGGAGGTGGGACACGAAGGAATGAGGTTTGGGAAACGGGGTGTATGGGACAGGCGAGTTGTTGGGAGCTGGAAACCGGGAGCTCTTCCTGACTCTGACCAGCTGTGTGGCCCCGGCCGAGGCATTTGACCTCTCAGTGCCACATCTGCTTTGAGCCCAATTCCCCCTAAGAGCAAGAAGCTTCTCGAACCAGCTACCTGGGTTACACTCTGATGGCTCCACAGAGCTCTCCTGCCGAGCTCGAAATGAGCTGACGCTTTGTGGCTGTGGGGAGGGAAGGAAGGATTGCCTAGGGCAGTGGTCGGCAAACTGCGGCTCGCGAGCTACATGCGGCTCTTTGGCCCCTTGAGTGTGGCCACGAAGTTTCAATCGCACTGTATGTGTGCGCCTGCACATGGTATTTTGTGGAAGAGCCACACTCAAGGGGCCGCAGTTTGCCGACCACTGGCCTAGGGTGACCAGCCGGTATGAATGTTCCTGGCAAGTGTTAGCTGTTTGCTGCTGATGTTAAGGTGACAAGTGACCCAGCAGCTGCAGGACTTTGACCTGGAGAGCAAGCGGTACCTGCTGAAAGGGTGAATCCTTCCTGGGTTGAGACGGGGGAAAGAACAGAGGAAGGCACAGGGCTGGTGGGGCAGCTGAGGGCGGGGGCGGGGGCGGAGGTGGGGGAGGTGGTGCTGGTGCTGGTGATGGTGATGGCGGCAGGGGTGCTGCCGTGGAGGCCAGCAATCATGGTGAAGGCAGCAGGAGCAGCGAGGAGGGCTGTGACGATGGCAGGGATGGCGATGGGAGGGGGAAGAGTTCAGTGGAGAGTGTGGGCTGCTACAGAGAAGCAGAAACCTGGAGAACAGGGACTTCTCTGGGGGGCTCAGAGCTGTTTGGGGAAACCTACCCTAAAAAAACCTCCGCAAAACTCACACCAACATACACACCCATGTGCCAGATCTGAAGTACAAAGAGAAAACCACAACACTGCAAGTGGGTAAATATTTTCCTGGACACCCCACCCTCACACTGTGACAGCGAGGCAAATGGGCAGCTCATTATACTAAACAGCTATTTGCAAGTTACATTTTTCTGTGGAATGTGCCTGGTATTACGATGTATTTGTCATGCAGTCAGGGTAAGGGCTCCAAAAGAAAGAGTGTAGGGCTCTATAGTGTCTTTAAATGGCTGTGGTGGATTGGCAAGTACTGAGAAGATAGTAAAGCCCCCCATCACTGGAGGGATGCATGGAGAGCAGGGGAGGTTCCTGAATACAAGTGACCACTGCGTCTTGCTTCTGCCCAGATCGCTCCCATTTTATTATTTCGGGGGCTCATAACCCCCTCCTTCCTGCCCCCTCCACACACACACACAGTTGCTAGCAGGAACCTTTGAGAGTCTAAACCAGTGATGGCGAACTTTTTGAGCTCAGCGTGTCAGCATTTTGAAAAACCCTAACTTAACTCTGGTGCCGTGTCACATATAGAAATTTTTTGATATTTGCAACCATAGTAAAACAAAGACTTATATTTTTGATATTTATTTTATATATTTAAATGCCATTTAACAAAGAAAAATCAACCAAAAAAATGAGTTTGCGTGTCACCTCTGACACGCGTGTCATAGGTTCGCCATCACTGGTCTAAGCTCATCTCCTCACCTCTCTGCTGAGGAAACTGGGGGCACAGAACTTGTTAGAGGTAATACAACAACTCAGTCACCCGAGGGACCCCAATCTGGCCCCTGTCCCCAGCACAGTGCCCTTTCCACCCGGCCCCTACCCCCCGCCCCCAGCAGTTCTGCCCCCGGGTGGCAGAGATTTGGGCCTCGTGGCAAACATTGGCAGCTGGCTCTCACCTGCCCCAGAAGAACCAAGGCAGCATTTTCACGTGGCCCAGTCAACCCTGTCCTGGAAACTCCCTCCCAGCCTTTCCCACAGGTGCTGGCAGTGGACTTTGGCCAAGTCACAAAGTACCGTAAACCTCCATTTCCTCAGCTATGAAATGGAGATGACTAATGGTGCCCACGTAACAGGGCTGCTGCACAGATGAAAGTACTTTCAAAGTGCCTGACAGATGGAACAGTACATTGTTCCGATGGTAGTTTCCGATGTGCACTTAACGCAGCAAGTGCGGGTATTAACTGAGCCCCTACGCAGTGCCTGTCAGGGCAGAGCTGGCCCTCCGGACACTCACATTCCGTGGGGAGAGGAGAATAGTGAGCGGACAGGGAGCAAGGAAAAGGCCAGGAGAATGTGCTCCACAGAGGGGCCAGTGCTTCGAGGAAAGTGATGGGGGTGGTCACATTCTGGGGGTGAAGGAGAACTGATGTCTATTCACGATACACACGTCCAGGTCAGCGGCAGACCTCAGGCCGCTGCGCAGGAGCGAGGCGGGTGTGGCCAAGCACCCACTAAGGCTGGGGGTAAAGTCGGAGGTCAGAGGGGTGGGGCGCAGATCCCCAGGGGCCTGTGAGCCGAGGGGAAGGTGGAGCCGGGCAGCATGGGCAGGGCAGAAGCGGCTGGGCGCTGGGGGTGGCAGGGAGCAGGGAGGCCAATCGAGAGCTCACAGAGGCCCAGGCAAGAGGCAGCGCTGCTTTGGAGCAGGACCAGGATGCTGGCAGTGGCCGAGGAAAGCAGCCACTGCCAAGACAGACGCATTCCAGAGGCAGGAGCCACGGGCCTTGCTGAGGACAGGACGGGAGTCAAGGATGATGCCCTCGTACTCAGCCTGAGCACCCAGGGTCCCCAGCTCAAACCACCGGGAGCCCGGGCCTCTCTCTCTCACGAGCGGCCTCGACCGGAAGCCCTTTACTGTCTTGCAAGGCTTTTACCAAACGTCTAGCCCACTTCGAGGAAGGAGGTACAAATCTGTAACCACAGAGATGAAAGACCTGCTGATATTGCGAAGGAGGAAGTGCCTGGTGCTGCACGTGCACAGAGAATCCTGCCATTGCTTTGAAAAGCCCGGAAGGTGGTTTCTTGCTCTACAGGAAAAGGTAAATGCACACGTTACCCTGATGACAGAAGTCCCCACGTCCGGGACCCGGCTGAGATTCCCGACAGGGGCTGCTGCCGGGACTCCTCTGATGCCTCAGCCCCAGGTCGCCAGAACAGGTGACATGGCCCATTACAGGGGCAAAGTGCTGAGAAGTTATAGCTCCTGTAGAAGAGGAACTACCTCCCCTGGGACCCAGGGACCTGAGGTACTGGGGGTGGTGAGCAGGGCTGGCTCAGGCCTACCCTCAGCTGCCACCCCCACCTGATGCACAGCAGGTGAGCAGGGCCTGGGAGCCCCTTCCTGCCTTCCAGTCACATCGCCCTCCATCCGCTCCCACACGCACCCTAAACCGCACCACCTCTGCCTCCACGCTTCCACAGGCTCCTGTCTGGAGCCTGCTTGTCCCCATCTTCCCTGAGTTACCTCCTTCCCCTCAAGTATCCCCTCCTCGGGAAGCCTTGGTATCCCCCAGACCAGGTCCGGCCCCCCCATTGCATACTGCTGTGCGTCCCCTTTATATACCTCAACACAGCTGCAGTGAATGAGCCTCGCCGCAGTGCATCTGTCTCCCTCCCCTAAGAGGAGCCAGGGCATGTCTGCTGCGCTCACCCTGTGACCCCAGAGCCCAGCACAGTGTCTGCACGCGTAAGGCACTCAACAAAGCTGGAGTGTGGCTTCAGACAATAACAAAACTAACGTTTTTATTGTTATAAGATACAGCTGCTCCTGACTTATGATGGAGCGACATCCCAATAAACCAGGGGTCCTCAAACTACGGCCCTCGGGCCACATGCAAATACAAATATTGTATTTGTTCCCGTTTTGTTTTTTTACTTCAAAATAAGATATGTGCAGTGTGCATAGGAATTTGTTCATAGTTTTTTTTTAAACTATAGTCCGGCCCTCCAACGGTCTGAGGGACAGTGAACTGGCCCCCCTGTTTAAAAAGTTTGAGGACGCCTGCAATAAACCATGAAGTTGAAAACACTGCAGCTTGAAAGTGCAGTTGCTACTGCAATGGAGGGTGTTGGTGGTTTCCCACCCTCCTGATCAGGGAGCTGGCCCTGTCCGGCACCAGGAGGGAGTGTCACACACGCACCACAGGCCGCTAACCAGGAACAGGTCAAAATTCAAAATTTGAAGAATGATTTCTACCGAATGCGTACGTTGCTTTCCAACTCTCTTTACAGTTGAAAGATTGTAAGCTGGGGACCGTCTGTAATAGCTGTGTAACGTCACCATAAGTAATGTGACCTGCCACGTGCCAGGTGCTGGTGTTCACACCTTTACTCTCTGCATTTATTTCACAGCCACCAAGTGAAGGAAGACAGAGTATTACTCCCAATTTACAAAGGAGGAAACGGGCTCAGAGAGCGTGTAGTAACACCCCAAGGTCACGTGCTGCTAGTGACAGCACTGGAGGTAGAACCCAGATCCGGCCAATGCCCAAGTCCTTGTTTCCAGCCCCTGGGGCTCCCCTCACTTCTCTCAGCATCAATTTTTACAGAACATGGATCCAACCCCCTATTTCTCAGACCACCCGCTGCTCGCCCGGAGGGGCCTCGTGCAGTGCTGCCTGGTGAACACTGTTTCTCTTCCTGCTGTAAGCTCTTGCCTAGAAAATCAGACTCATCTTCCAGGCTGAGTGAGAAACCCAATCAAAGGAGCTGGAACTGCTTCCCCCAACTTGCTGGCTGCTGCACTGTTGCCAGCTGCCTGAGGACGGGGCCTGGGGGCAGGCACTTAAAACCCGAGAGGGAACTTCATTTCTCCTCCCAGTGAGGAGGGAAGGAGAGTGCTGGACGCGGTTGGGTGAACTTTGATGGGGAGGAGCCCCTAGACTGGTTTTTTTCTAAGTGGCCTCGCCCCTCCAGTTGGCAAACAATATTCCATCGGTGGCATTTCTTCTGGGATTTTGTGGGTGAGAAGCAGTGAGAGGGGCATTGGGGCATCAGGCAGACATGATGATGAACTTGGGGGTGCCATGATCTCCTCTCAGGAGATCATTTCATCTACAGGTATGGAATGGGTAGTGCTCCATTCAGAAGGTCACGAGGAACTCCAGGTACCTGGGCTGGAGAATAGAAACTTAACAGGTGTGGTTCTCATTGGAAAAAGGAACCATTGCTGTTCTGTCGTCGCTGGGCCTCCAGCACCTGCAGCCAGCACTTGGCACACTGAAGGCTCTGAAAGAAATGTGAGCTGAATAGGAGAGAGGGGAGGAGAGAACGAAGGAAGGAGGGGGAAAGGAGGGGGCAATGAATTTCTAATTATATGAGACGCTGGTTCATTCGGTTTGGAAAACCCCCAAACATGAACTAAAATGCCGGTTCAATGCCGAAATGCCTATACCGGGCTGTTAAGGAAGCTCAGAGAATACTTTGATCAGAAATAAGAATTCTCAAAGCAATGCCCTTGCTGCCGCCATCTCCGAAGTTAATTGAGCGCGGCAGTGCGAGCGGGTGTCTGTGCTTTTTATGTAATGAAAGGATCTTCCAAAAATAATACCCAGAGGTACAGCTCGGGAGGCCTGGCGGCTGAGCCAGCTGGAGCAGCAGGAGGCGACCAGGAGCCGTGGGCCCCGCGCCAACGCCGCGGTTACGATTAAATGACGCTCTCGCGTTCAGAGTGCAGAACACTGCAGGCTAGAGCCTGGGAGAGGCTTGCTATGTCACGGGGAGATGAGATTGCTGCCGAGAGGTTCTGCTGCCGCCTGGATTTCTGCACACTCCCAGGTCCCAGGAGCCGGTCGGGGCTGGGGAACCAGGAGAGCCCCTGTGAAAGGGTCCAGGAACCAAGCAGGGCCCGAGCTTCTCTTGCATCCATCGGGACCGCAGGATATCACCACCAGGAGGGAATCGCTGAGATTTCCCCCAGAGGCACTGTGTGTTCAGCCCCACGGAAGTGATGTTTGCAGTGGGACAGGAGGGAGGGGGGGAGGGACGGATGGGAAACCACCCAAATACCCATGATGGGGGGATGACAGAATAAACTGTGGCCAGCCACCCCACACACACACCCGGCCCCCGGACTGTTATGCGGCCATTAGAAAGATTTTGTGAATTCTGTATCAGCTGACCTGGATGCGGGACCACCTGTGTTGCCAAATAAGTAAAAACTAGGGAGATGTTTAGAGCAGGTGGTGGGTGGGGCGCGGTGAGCCCACTACGCCAGCAGTCAGTCTGGCCCTCTGCCTGGATCGTGCAGCCCAGGAACTAAGAATAGCCTCCACGTTTGTCGATCGTTCGGAAATGGTTGTAAAGAGCTGGAGGAAATATAAGGAAAATACTGTGTGACCTATGAAACGTATGTGAGACTCAAATGCGAGGGTCCGAGGTAAGGTCTCCCTGGAGTCCAGCGCGCTTCCTCATGTGCTTGTTGTCTGTGTAGCTGACTTTCCTTCCACGGCACCAGAGGTGACACAGACCGACGGTGGGGGGTGCAGAGCAGAAAATGTTTTCCTGACACAGTTCGAGGCCCCTGGTTTAGGGCGCAGTGACACTGTAAAACAACAGCACTGAGCGCTGTTCCTGGCACCATATCAGCGTGAATTTGTTACATTTGCTTACTTATTCATCCATTCTGTGATTTGTCCACCAGACTCCAATGCCCAGCTGCGGGGCCAGGCATGGGGAACCAGCACTGAACAAGTCGACGCAGCCCGCCTCCCGGAGCTTCGAGTCTGCGTCTAGATCTTTCTCCAAATAAACAGCCCCTCCCTGTTTGTCTCACGCGGGGTCACGTGGTACAGCCCCTTGCATCCTGACTCCCCTCCTCCTCCCACAGCGCATTCTGATTGCTTCAGTGCCTCCAAAGAAGGGCATCCAGACTGGCCCCAGGCCTCCTGGTGCCGTGCAGGGAGGTCAAGGTCGAGAAGATTCATCCTGAATCAGGTCACGCTCTTGGACTGGTTTCAAAGCGCTCAACACCGGCCTTTGCATTTTCAGCTCCTGCTCTCCAGTGGTCCCAAGAGGGAGATGCAGCAGCCGTGACCCCGGCCTCGTGGATGGGAGCGGCTGTCAGCTATGGAGAAGGATGCAGCCACGTGTCCACATGATCCCTCCTTCATAAAACCTAAGCCACCTCCAGACACATGCCCCAGTGCCTGTCTCTATGCAGAACCTGGAGAGACGAGGCCTGCTCCAGGCCCAGGAGGGAGCCAGCTCTGAAGAGGCAAACTGAGGACGAGAGTTTGAACCACCAACTTTGCCTCCTCTCTGTTCATGCTCATGCGCTTGCCCAACACCTCCTAGGAGACTGACTATTTATTTCTAGAAAAAGCACTGAGTCGATTACTGTAGCCTGCCACAATTGGATACTCCCTTTCGTCTCTGTGGGGCAGCCTGGAGCCCAGTGGCTGACAACACTGGCACATTGGGGAGCTGGAAGAGAAGCAGCTAGGGGCTGTGGCTGAGGAAGGAGCTCGGGGTCCCAGGATGGAGTCCAACGACACGGCCGCTTCCTCTTGCCTGGACTCTGCCGCGTTCAAGGTCACCGTTAGTGTGGTACTCACCATCCTCATTCTCATCACTATTGCCGGCAACGTGGTTGTCTGCCTGGCCGTGGGCCTGAACCGCCAGCTCCGCAGCCTGACCAACTGCTTCATCGTGTCCCTGGCCATCACCGACCTGCTCCTTGGCCTCCTGGTGATGCCCTTCTCGGCTTTCTACCAGCTCTCCTGCAGGTGGAGCTTCGGCAAGGTCTTCTGCAACATCTACACCAGCCTGGACGTGATGCTCTGCACGGCCTCCATCCTCAACCTCTTCATGATCAGCCTCGACCGGTACTGCGCCGTCACGGACCCCCTGCGCTACCCCGTGCTCATCACCCCGGTCCGGGTTGGCGTCTCCCTGGTCTTGATTTGGGCCGTCTCCATCACCCTGTCCTTTTTGTCTATCCACCTGGGCTGGAACAGCAGAGACGAGACCAGCGGGGTCAACCACACCATCCTGCCCTGCAAAGTCCAGGTCAACTTGGTGTACGGCTTGGTGGACGGGCTGGTCACCTTCTACGTGCCTCTGCTGGTCATGTGCATCACCTACTTCCGCATCTTCAAGATCGCCCGGGAGCAGGCCAAGAGGATCCATCATATCGGGTCCTGGAAGGCGGCCACCATCAGGGAACACAAAGCCACAGTGACGCTGGCCACCGTGATGGGGGCCTTCATCGTCTGCTGGTTCCCCTACTTCACCGTGTTTGTCTACCGGGGGCTGAGAGGGGACGACGCCATCAACGAGACCTTCGAAGCTGTTGTTCTGTGGCTGGGCTACGCCAACTCGGCTCTGAACCCCATCCTGTACGCGGCACTGAACAGGGACTTCCGCACGGCGTACCAGCAGCTCCTGCGCTGTAGGTATGCCAGCTGCAACGCCCACGACACCTCTCTGAGGTACGACAGCTCTCGGCTCCCCAGGACTCGGAGCCAGGGACCCAGGCAGCAGGAAGAGAAGCCCCTGAAGCTCCAGGTGTGGAGTGGCAGAGAGGTCATGGCGCCCCGGGGAGCCGCAGACAGGTAACCGCCCTGGCTTTCTCTGTCCAGGACAGGGGCACAGGGAGAGGTCCCACTGATGGTGACCATCACGGTGGCCACTGCTCCCAAGGTGCTGGCCCTCTTCATGAGGACTTCACAAACCTTGGGCCGTGCTATCATCCCATGGAGGAGAAACTTTTCACCTCCATTTTAAAAGGACCACAACTTGGCCAGGGCCACATGGCTGGGACCTGGACAGAGGCCCCCAGCTCCAGAACTTGTGGGCCCTTTGTTCCAGCTACATTGTCCTGACAATTAGAAGTCCTCAGTTTAAGGCCCAACCCTACCACGGACCTAGCAGTCATAAGTGCTCACTCACATGCTGCAGGCAGCCGTCAGGGGGCCCTTGCACAAATGCCGGCGCCTGGGGGTGAAATGAGAAACCCAGCTGCTCCACTGAGCACCTGTTATGCATCAGCTCTTACGCTGGGGGCACTCAAGTCAGAGGAGACAGAGGACTGGCCCAGCTGGGAAGGCAGGGGCTGGGACTCTGTACCAGAGGTCTTAGGGGAGCACGGAAGGCTTAGGAGCAGGGGGCAGCTCTGTGCTCTGAAAGAGGCTCTGGTTGTCCGCTAAGATGTGGACGAGAAGGATGAGCCGGGCCAGCAGTGCAGGGGCTGCGTCCCTGGTCTGTGAGGGAGGAGAAGAGAACCGTGCAGAATCTAGGCGGCCATGAGAAAATGGGCTTGGGGACGCTGGGTGCTCGGGGTGCAGGAGATTTATGAGGAAGGATGTCCCAGGATCCGTCCCCAAGGAGATTCCAGGCTTAAAAGATAAACGGGATCAGAATGAGACTTAGACAAATCCACGGGTGACCAAGGCAATGCAGGTGTTAAATGGGAAGCGGCACCAGAGGCTTGAGCGGCACGGAGACGGCGCTGCGTGGAGAGGGAGGTGTGGGGGCTGTGAAAGGAGTGAGTGACAGGGGGCGGGAGAACACCTGCCACACAGATGCGCTCTGTGGGCGTCACTTTCCCTTCTCCTCTGCGGACCATGCCTTTGCCCCCAGAATGCTGGTCCCGTGACTGACCCATTCATTCACCCACGAACATTTATCAGCTTCCCACTGCAGGCTGAGGACTGTGCTGAGCACAGGGATGACGTCTTGGGCCTTTCCCAGCTCTGCCCTCACTCACCCTAGCTGGAGCAAGTCCCGGCCTCAGGCTCCTCTTCTCATGGAGTGTAGGGCCTGTCCTCATGCACTGCCCTGCTCACCTCCCAGAGTTGCCCGAAGCGTGTGTGAGTTAGGGGAGGCCATCGGGCGCTGGGACGGCCATGGATGCAAGTTCATTCTTGAGCACTGTGTCGGTCTCAAGGAAAGCTGGCTGGGCACTGCAGACCCACACCCTCTGGGATCTGGTCTCTGTGCATCGTTGTGGGGGAAGACTGTCCAACCAGACCCCTGGGCCCCAGGTCCCCTCTGGCCCTTGCAGCCTCCACCCCATCCACTGCTAACCTGCTGCACCCAGCTTCCTCCCAGCCTCCTCTCAGCCTCCTGGCCTCTAGACTCTCCCTCTCAAATCCATCCTCCAAGCCATCTGCAGGTGCCTCTCCATAATGCAGATCCAGAGCCTTCATGCCCGTCCGTGTCCTGCCACACTCCCTCATTCAAGAAGCAGCCTGAGTGAAAAGTTGATTTAGTTCAAGAAGTAAACAAAGAACAAAGCGGGGGGTGTGGACTCTTGGGAAGGCGCCGCCATGATTCAGTCAGGTCGTGCACACCACTCCCTCCTGCTCGGACCTGCGTGCCCTCCGGGCACATAGGCTGCTCTATCCCTAATCCTTACGGAAACGTTCAGCGAGCACTTCAGAACTGGCACTCACTGGGCACCACTGGCTGCCGGCTTTACAATCTTGCCATTGTTTCTATGTATGGTCCTTCTGTCCCCGGCTAAGGGTGCCAAGGGAGATAAGGCAAGATCCCCACCCCACGCCGCCACTCGCGCCGCCTGTAGCTGCTCGGGATGTAGCCGAGGAGCAGACTGGCCGGGGTTCATGCAGCACGTGCCAAGGATCGAAACACAGGGCGCTGAGCGCCCGGTGAGGCGGCTTGCGGCCCAGGCAGCCCGTCCCAGGGAGCGGGCCAGTGAGCTGAGCCTGAACGCGGACGGGAAAGACCCACTCATCCAGGGTGGTGGACCCTTCAGACTCGTGGCCTCGTTTCATTCTCCCACGACCCCATGAGTAGGTGCTTGTTTAGTCTCCACTTTACAGATGGGAAAACTGAGGCTCAGAAGTTAATTAAATTGCCCAGTGACACAAGCTAGTGCGTCAGCCAAAGCCAAGGTCTGAGCATCAACAGAAACAGCTGCCCCCATTCCAGACAGTCCTGTGGGTGCGGGCACACTGTGAGGTGTGAGTGCCCACCTGCTCTTCTGATCCTCATGGCCACCGTGGGCGGGGGGCTAGGAGCGCACCGAGGCCAGCTGAGAGGCCAAGCCTGCCTGAGTCACACAGAGCGGCTAGGGAACACCCTGGGGAAGCAGTGGACTGGCCGGAGGGGTCTGGTGGGGAGGATGGGGAGGATGGGGAACCAGGTAAGGGGTTTGGGGGAGGCCAAGAATAGATTTTCCCACCAAGGCTGCCAGGACAATCAGGGCCTTGAATGACCTTCCAGAAGGTCAGCTCCCAGCTTCCCTGGTGCCGACAGCATGTCCTTCCTGGTGTCCGTCTACGGACAAAACCCAGTGTTGACCTGACTGAGAACCCTTATCGCTTCTAAGGGGGTGGGGCTGTCTGCAGAAGCAAGAATTCCAAGGAACTGATCTGGGCCTGCCCTTGGGGTGGCGGCAGGGTCAGCCAAGGGGAGACTCAGGAGAGAGAGGCCCAGTTGGCCTGTAGCCAGCCAGCAGCCACCTCCCAGCAGGATGCTCTGTCTGCCCCTTCCTGACCCCAACTGGCCTCCTTCACCCACTCTCCCCTCCACCCTGGACAGCCTCACCTGCCTCCTCTCTGATCCCCAGCCCCAGCCTCTCCCCTGCTCAGAACCTCAGCTTCTACTAGTAGAGGCTGTGTTAGCTTCTGAGGGCTGCTGTAACTAATGACCATGAACCTGGTGGCGGAAAACACAGGAATTCATTCTCTTACAGTTCAGGAGGCCTAGAGCCTGAGATCAAGGTGTTGGCAGGGCTGGCTCCTCCTGGAGGCTCCCATGCAGATCCGTTTCTTTGTCTTTTCCAGCCTCTGGGGGCCACCGCACGCCCTGGCTCGTGGCCCCTTCCTCCCACGCCCCCAACCTCTTGCCTCCACCCGCACACCTTCTCCTCTGTAGCCAGACTCCCCTCGACCGCCCCCCCCCCGCCTCCCTCTTACAATAGGGCACCTGTGGCCACACTCAGAGCCCCGAGATAATCCAGGATATCCTCCCCACCCTAAACTCCTCACCCAATCAGATCGCAGAGCCCCTTTTTGCTGATGAGGGTGTGGACCTGTGGGGGTGGAGGGGGTGTTCAGCTACCGCCAGTCCCAGCTCCTTCGCCTGTCACTGGAGGCCCTTCATGATTTGGTCCCTGTCCCCTTCCTGCCACCACCCAGCCACCCTCCACCCCTCCTGCCCTGAGTGCATTCATTCATGAGCACTCACCAGGGATCTGCTTGCTGCATGCCTGCAGTTTGGGGCACAGCACTGAGCAGAGCAGAGGCCCACTTCTCTGAAGCATGTTATTCGAGGGTTCTCAAAGCATGGCCCCCAGCCAGCAGCAGGCTTCCAGGAGCAGAGCAGCCAGCCTCGGGCCACACCGCCTCATCCGTGGCAGAGCCAGGACTCGAGCCTAAGCTGTCTGACCCCAAAGCCTGAGCTCTTTCCATGATGAAGTGCTGCCTAGATTTGAAGTTAACCCAGACTCAGAGGTACCAGATGGGGAAACTAAGGCACAGGAAGCTAAGTGCCCTATCTGAGGCCCATGGCAGCTCGGGAGGGGCTGGGAGGGGCCCCGGTATCTCTGGACAGCTGCCCGGGACGCCGGGTCCTGCTCCCAGCACTCACTGGCTCTGAGCAATCTCCCCGGCAGGGAGATAATATTCACACACTCCTGGGTATCAGCAGTCTCCCTCCCTGGGCGTGGCACTTCCCCTTTCCTACAGAGCCCGGCCTGCAGCAGTGATACTCCTGTGCCCGGAGACTAGAGTCGGGGCTCGAGAAAGACCTCAGGAGAAGAGATACAAAGGGAGGCAGGGGTCCCCCACCTCTCCCGCCAGCTCTCCCCTCTGTCTGCTCTCCTTCCCTCTGCAGCCAGAGAGAGCATGTCCCCACGTAAATGGGATTACACACCGCCCCTCCTGGTGCATGTGGAATCAAATATCCGACCACCAAGGCCCTGCACCCCATGGGCCATCTTCTTACCCCTCTTGGCACATCCTACGTGATTAACGTCTGCTCCCCAGACTGTGAGCTCCCTGAGGGCAGGCCCATGTCTGTGATGTTCACTGCTGTGTCCCTAACACTGAGCACTGGGCCTGGCATAAGACATTTGTTGAATGAATGAATGAATGAATGAATGAATGAATGTCTTGTTCTAGGTCCCCTAGAGCAGTGAATAATACTGCCCCCACTTTAGAGAGCAGGAAACCAGGTCTCAGAGAAGAGAGTTCAGGAACCTCGTGGGAGCTCAGAAGTTCCTGGTTCCCCTTTTCTAAACTGGACGTCACAATGGGCCTCCCTCCAAATTGCTGGCACCAGGGGCAGGCCTCCCAGCGGAATCAGTGTCAGAGTCTCAGAGGAGAGAGAGGCCCCTCCCCTCGCCACATCACAGGTGAGCCCAGGAAGGTGAGAAGACCTGTGTCAAAAGCACAGGAAGTGCTCCGAGCTGGGGTGGGGTCCCCGACAACCCAGACACTGTCCACCAGTCTGCAGGGCCTCTTCGGGCCAGAGGCTGGGGCCCAGGGAGGGTGCAGCTGGCGTCTGTCCTGCTGTAAGTCCCGTCTAGGCAGGCAGACGAGGCCGTGGGAGGGAAAGCAGCAGCTGTTGCTCAGAAAGGAAGTTT